CCTGGGTCCAGTGGCTGATTTTTTTTTTCTTTTAAAGAAGGAGACGGTCAGACCTTTCTTCTGGAACATGCCTGAGTGGACACACACTCCTGACCGTTTGCTTAGCAGCCAAGCACATTAACCGTTTGTGTCACCCAGGAACTTCTCTTTCTTGGGAGAAGTTTGGTGAATCCAGGGCTCTTCAACAACTTCTAAGGTGTAGACCAACATTAACTAACTCTCTCTCTCTCTCTCCCCCTCTTTCTCTCCCACACACACATGCACACATGCACACATCACATCCATAAGTAGTTTAAAGTAAAATTGCACACATAAAGACATTGCCAGAAAGACAAAACCTGACTGCCCTAGTTGGTGAGACCTCTGAGGGAGAGGGCTTCCTAGGGAAAGTGTGTGTTCATGTGATAAGAGCACTTCAAGATAGGAAAAAATGCCCAACATCAGCAAACACATCAAAGAAAAAGTCCTTGGGCTTGGAGCTTAGCTGGGTAGTTGGTGACCTTGGAGACAACCGTGTGTGGCAGTGGTTGGGGCAGGGGCAAGTGTGAGTGACTGGTTCGCAAGCAGAGGCAGCCCTTTAAGAAGTTCCATTCCAAGTATGGATCATTCCATGGAAGCAGGTGAGGGTCAGTGCTGGAATATACAAAGCCAGGCTGATGATCATTTTCCTACTGTACTGAGTGGCCCCAGTTACCAAGCCACTTTATGATCAGAACATTTAGTTACCGCATGGTGACTAAACCTCTGTGGGAAAGCCCTCCTTTGATTAAGTATCAGACAGTGCCATGGAAGAGTTTCAGCAATGATTAGGTCGCATGGATGTATGCCAATGATAACTCTCTTCTTTCCATCTACAAACATGTCAGTGGTGCCGTGGTCTGCACAGCTTATAGACAGACTCTGCCGTCCGGGTGCATAGGTGAGTAGGGCATTAGAGCACACGATCACAGTAAAGTAATGTACAGACGTCTGGGAGGAGTGGTGTGGAAACATGCCTGGGAAGGTCCAGGAGGGTTTCCCAGAGAAGGTCTGAAAGGTTAGGAGGAG